CAAGTGCTAACAAAACCTATTTTAGATAAAATCTGTGAAGTAGCAGAAAAAGCTTACAATAAAATACCTACACTAGAAACCCAAGTCAGTTATGTTAATATTAACCAACTTCCATCTGAGAGTTTCTTGCATTTTGTAGCTCGTCTAAGGTTACAGATACAACAAGTGCAAGAACCAGCAGCACAAGCAGAATTGATTAAAGAAATGGCACAAAGAAATGCCAGCAAGGCCTGCCGTAAAGTGATTTTAAATCTGCCCATCTATCCTCCACCTACCATAGCAGATATGATCCAAGTGTGTGCCAAGAAAGCAGATCTGTACAGTGCACATGACAAGAAACCAGGACCATACAACCCAAGGACTGTAGCAGCTGTAACACCCGAGATGAACAAGCCACAGATGTCACCCGAACAGCTGCAGCACATCATCCGTTTCCAGTGCAAGAGGCCAGGCCATTTTGCAAGGAACTATCCTCAGAAACAGCAGAAAGAAGCTGTAGCAAATCAAAAAAACTGAATTCAAAGCGCTTTTCTGTCAAGCGCAGAGACATAAAAATGACAGACCTGAAACAGGAAAAATACTATTTTAATGGGAAAAGCGGAGGAAAGGGAGCGGGGTGAGAAACTACAGAAACATAATTGTGGGGAACGTTTGCCTAATAAGATCTGGCAACCGCAAAAGCGATTCAGACTTGTAACTGCTAAAGCTTTTTGTTTCAGATCTGATCATTGGACTGTCATTGGAGTGGACTTGCAAGACAATTCACAAGACCTGGCTGGACTGGAAAATAGGTATTTTGTTATTGGAGAGACAGCACACACACCAATAGAGATTGAGGTAGCTCCCATGACAATTAAGGGAGACCTAACACACCTCACTCTCTTGGCAAGATGTCCTCAACCACCCTTCTATGTAGCCAAAGGGCAGATAATAGCCCAAGTGATCCCTGTTCCAACAGAAGTCCCAGTAGATGACAAAGCACCAGGGGTATACTAGGCAGAAGTGGTGGGTGAAGACAAACCCATTATGGGGTGTAACTTAACACATAAATCAGAACATCTCCATGTAGAAGGGTTAATTGACACTGTGGCAGGTGTAACTGTCATACCTGAAACGGTGTGGCCCTCACATTGGGAACTGAAATCCATGGCAGGAAAAATACAGGGTGTTGGAGGGATGAAACTGGCAAAAATTGCTAAAGCTATCGTCCAGATTGAAGGCCCAGAGGATAAGGTTAGCTAGTGTCCGACCTTTTGTCACTGATTATAAGTGCCGCTGTGGGGAAGAGACACCATGTCCCAGTGGGGAGTGAAATTAACAATTCCTGAGACACCTCAGGATTTTTGCTGGAGGCCACTGTAGAGCATACGGTCCAAAAGCTATCTTAGCTAGATAATAATCCAATTTGGGTGAACCAGTGGCCTCTCAGCAAACAGAAACTCGGGGTGCTAGAAAGACTGGTAGAAGAAGAATTGGCCAAGGGACACATAGTAGAAACAACCAGCCCTTGGAATTCCCCGGTGTTTGTAATAAAAAAGCCAGGGAAGGATAAGTGGCGCCTCCTTCAGGATTTGAGAGAAATAAACAAAAAAATAGAGGACATGGGGTCTCTTCAACCAGGTATACCATCCCCAACTGTGTTACCACAAAATTGGCTATTAGCAGTGCTAGATATTAAAGATTGTTTTTTCCAAATTCCCCTGCACCCAGAGGATGCAGCATGGTTTGCCTTTTCCATTCCCACAATTAACCGGGAAGCTCCAATGAAATGGTACCACTGGACAGTACTACCTCAGGGGATGAAAGCGAGCCTCTTCATCTGCCAGTGGTATGTGGGGTCATTGCTGTCCCCAGTGCGTGCTGAAAAAAGAGATGCCATCATTTTGCATTATATGGATGTTAGTATGCTGTCCCAATAACAACATGCTGCAAGACACCCTTGACTTAGTGGTTAAAGTTTTAACCTCTGCTGGATTCCAATTGCAGGAAGACAAAGTTCAAATGATGCCACCTTAGAAATACTTGGGATTAGAGATAAGTAAATGGACTGTTATTCCACAAAAATTAGAAATTATTGGCAATCCTAAAACTCTAGCAGATCTCCATTCCCTATGCAGGTCACTAAACTGGGTCAGACCTTGGCTAGGTCTCACTAATGAAGACCTGAGCCCCCTGCTCAGTTTATTGAAAGGGGAGAGAGAGTTACTGTCTCCCAGGGAGCTGACTTCAGAAGCAAAAAATGCAGTTGAAAAAGCACAAAGGGCCTTGACAGAAAGACAGGCATATCGCTTCAAACCGGAGCTGCCTTTCAAATTTATTGTCCTGGGGAAATTACCACACTTACATGGGTTAATATTCTAGTGGGCCGAGGGGCAGAGAGATCCACTCTTAATAATAGAATGGGTCTTCCTCTCCCATCAATGACCCAAAACTATCACCAAGCCGCAAGAACTGATGGTTCAGCTGATCCAAAAGGCCAGGGTAAGGCTGCGTGAACTGGCAGGGTGTGACCTTATGTGTATTCACCTTCCAGTCAGACTCTCTAGAGAAGACAAACACTCCCCTGAGAAACTGACCAAAGAGATGTTTGACCACCTGCTGCAGAGGTGCAGCTAATCTTCAGTTTGCTCTGGATAGCTATAGTGGGCAAATTTTGGTCCATGCACCATCACACAAATTGTTTCATGAGGAATTCCACCTCATTCCTCATGAGAAAAGGAGCTGACGGCCACTCAAAGCTCTTGTAGTGTTCACTGATGCATCTGGAACCTCTCACAAGTCGGTGATGACTTGGAGAAATCCACAGACTCAGGTTTGGGAAGCTGATGTTGAGTTTGTAGAAGGATCAGCCCAGATAGCTGAACTGGCTGCAGCCATAAGAGCCTTTGAGAAGTTTTCAGAACCGATTAATTTGGTTACTGATTCAGCCTATGTAGCGGGAGTGGTGTCCAGAGCGGAGCAGGCAGTTCTCAAGGACATTGAGAACGAACATCTCTTTAGATTGCTTTCAAAACTGGTTTATTTAATTTCAGATAGAGAACATCCTTTCTATGTGATGCATATAAGATTGCATTCCGATTTGCCAGGTGAAATGGCTGAGGGAAACCGAAAAGCTGATTCCCTTGCTGCCCCAGCTGAAAAGGAACGTCTCCCACATGCGTTCCAACAGGCAAAGATAAGTCATCAGCAATACCGTCAAAATGTGCCAGGACTGATGCGTCAGTTCCAGCTGACACGGAGTCAGGCTAAAGCTATTGTGGCTACCTGTCCCAATTGTCAGCTTCAGGCAGTGCCATCGTTAGCCATCAGGGTTAATCCCCGAGGCCTTGGAAGCTGTGAGGTGTGGCAAACAGATATCACTCACATTCCCAGTTTTGGTTGCCTTAAGTATGTACATGTGAGTATTGATACATTCTCAGAAGCAGTGTATGCCTCTGCTCATGCAGGAGAAAAATCTGTACATGCCAAACAACACAGTACAGGCCTTTTCAGTGCTGGGGATCCCTAAAGAAATTAAACCAGATAATGGCCCAGCGTATAAATCCAAGGAGTTCCTGGAATTTTTCCAGCAGTGGGGAGTGGAACATAAAACTGGCATCCCCCACTCCCCCACAGGTCAAGCTGTGATTGAGCGTACACAACAGACACTCAAACAAGTCCTAGCCAGGCAAAGTAGTGGAACAGTGTAGATGTCTTCACAGCAAAAGCTTTGTAAAGCTATGTTTACCATCAATTTCCTGAACTGTTCATTTGAAAACATGAATCCTCCAGTTACTCGGCATTTTAACAGTAGCGATCAGTTTAAATTGTCACAGTGTCTACCGGTCTTAATCAGGGACCCTGAAACTTGGCAAACCAAGGACGCCTATGAACCTGACACCTGGGGGCATGGTTACGCATGTGTATCCACCTCTGCAGACCCCCGATGGATTCCTCAAAAATGGGTAAAGCCTTTTGTTCCTAAAAACCCAGCCCCAGCAGAAGAAGAAGAGAGACAAGTGGCAGTCGCTTCCAAAAGGAGACGCTGCTGGGAAAAACAAGAAGAAACCTTCCTAACCTCTGGCTATTCTCTGACCTGCTTACATTGACTGTGAATGTGTTTTAAAAAATGTTTGTTTCTTTTATTTTAGAAAAAAAAAAAACGAACTACCTCACACTCAAACGCATGATGAGCCTTATCTCAGCTATCCTCCTGCTCGTTCTGAGCAACCTGACCACTGCCTGGATTGTCCCTCAGCCACGACAGAACATCTGGGTGACCCTGGCACACACACACTTAAACAAGACAATATCTGCCTGTCCACTGCAGCAGCAAAAGACCCTATGTCTACCTGTCTGGTAAGAATTCCCCTGCAGGCTGAAGATTTTACAAACAGCTTCAGTGATCCCAAGTTTAATACCATGCCTAAAACACACAGTGACCATTCACATGAAAATCGTAAACGGCGAGCTGTGGCAGTGAAAAATCCTATAGAAAAGTGGTTACCAGTACTGCCCAGAGCTAATAAAGAGGCCCAAGAATTAGAGGTATTAGGTTCTTCCCCTGCACCCTTTTGTGTTCACTTTGTTTACAACTTACTGCCAGACACAAAATTATACAATCACATATGTTTTCTTTTAAGCAAGGCAGACACCCTGGTTCAGGAACAGCACGGTGACCAACACCCAGGCCACTCGGTCCATTACCCACAGACACCAATGTGATGGATGGCGAAAATGGCGTTTATTGCTGGAGAATTTGATATTTTATAACCTAGGGTCACTGTGTTATTCCCATCTGCTTTCATCACAGCTAGGTGCTACTGGCTAATTGCAAGAGGCATTACCATACTAACGGAGAGGGGGGGTTACTATCTTTCCGTTACATTCCGATATCTTCCGAGCGCCGGGCCTTACTTCTACACACATAATCCAATACTGAAAAGAATACAAAGCAAAACAATGGTGTGGTACGCTAAGTCAGGCCTTAGCAGACAATCCTCACCGTTCACATCCAAGAATCCTCCCTAAGGTATATTTCTAATATGTGGAGATAAAGCATGGGCAGGAGTCCCATCTCGCCTTCGAGGGGGGCCTTGCACTTTTGGGAGGCTGTCCCTGTTTGCACCCAACCAAACCCAAATTATTAGATGGACTAGGAAAGACAATTCAACTCACGAAATCCACAAAAGAAGCACTGATATTTTAGACTCAGATTGTGATTCGGATATATTATATTGGGCAAAATCAAAAAGGGTTGCTGCATCCATATTTCTTCCATGGGTCACAGCTGCCAAGGCACTAGATGAATTAGGAAAGCTTGAGTGCTGGGTGATCAAACAGGTCAACTTAACATCAGTCACTCTCAGCTCCCTCCTCAAAGATGAGGAGATTACCAGACAGGCCACACTCCAAAACTGAGCTGCAATAGATTTTCTTCTGCTGCTGCATGGACACGAATGCCAGGAATTTGAAGGACTTTGCTGCCTAAACCTGTCCTCAAAAGCTCCCAACGTCCACGAAGCCCTCCGAGAGAT